TGATTAGTGACTTTGTTCCTCTTCAGAAGAGAACACTCTCTTTTAGAATACCAATTTCTTAAACTGCTAATATAGTTATTTTAGGTTATTAATCTTTATTAAGTAATACATTAAACACTGTGCTAACATATTTAATCCTCAGACTCCAGTTACCATCTTGTGTTCACAGGAAAAAGATATGGGGTACATCAGAAATAGTGTCATTTGAGGTCTCAGTTTTCAAAATTCGTAGTATAAGGAAATTTGCAAGAGAAATACTTTATTCTTTAAGAACACAGAAGAAAACAGACAAGAAAAAGGAAACTGAACAAGAGAAGAATGGAGGAGAAACAGTCAAGTGAGAAAAGATAAGAATGTCAAAGGAAAGGAGAAGAAAACAGAAAAAAACTCAAAAAATAAAGACAGCACTTGGTAAACAAGAGAGAGAGAGAGAAACACATCTGGTTTTAGACAATATAACGGTATTGATCCCACTCAATGAGGTACTGAAGTTACTCATTGGTGTTTAAAGTCCAGGTAAGAGGGAAAGGATAGAGAAAGGAAAAAAAAAAAAAAAACTTTTAATGCATTATCACTCTCTCCATCCATTCTGATTATGTTAGCTTTTTCTTTTAACAATACTCTCCTGTTGTTCTGGGGTTGAGGAAACAAGAGGGTGAGAATGGAGCCAAAAAGGACAGATTACAGTGAGAATAAGAGGAAGGCACTTTTGAAAACTGTATAAATTAAGTTTCCAGATGATTCAATAGTTCCACAATCTGTTCCCTTGCCTACCCTCATTCCCTCTGCTATCACCTACTAGTCTCACTGAGTGATGTTTAACATTTTGGAGGTAATAAAAACCGCTAGGTTACAGTACTCATTTTCCATCTCTCACTAATCAGTGTCCAAAATCCTGACCACATGTTGCAGTCTATCTTCTTGACTATCCAAACCTGGTTATTTTCATTTCAGTAGCCTTTACTGCCATATTTACCAAATCATTTCTTGCCATAATGTAGTCACAAGGTTCTAGAAGAATTTTTCAAAATAACAGTGAGTATGTTTTGTATTTACACAAAATAAAAGGCAATTTTTCAGAATGCTAGATTCAACCATCATATCTGCTACCCTTTTCAATTGATATTCCTAAGAAGAAAGTATCTGTTTTTAGTATGGATAGAATCTTTAAAACACTTACACACCAAAAACAGTATTAATATGAAAATTAACAGATTCATTAGGAATATGCCCAAATAGTTTTAATAACTATAAATAGTCTCATCAGCTAAAAAAAAAAGTGTTAAAAGTGCATCATGAAGGAAGAGTTGCTGGTTCAAACTATGCCGCGATTATCTCCCAGAGACAGGGATGTAGTGGTAGATGAAGTAGAAAAAATCTTGGGAGATTCCAGCAGCTTTTGAGGAGTTGGATCTTCAGTGGTGGGGAAGACATGCAATAGGACTCAGTCTGCTTTGCTTGGATGGTCATGATTTTTTCTTCTTCCTACCTGGCAGCCACAGTTTCTCAGCCACAGAAGTATGTTGATTTGAAAAGCTTAATAGCCACTTATAATAAAAAAGTATAGCAACATGAAAAAGGACATAAAACTTCCAGTTTCATTTCCAATAAAAAAAAAGTTACCTTTAAAAACAAAACAAAACAAAACAAAACAAAAAAAACCCAGAAACATATATAGGACATCTTGAAGATATACCATACTAGCAATTTCAAAAAAAAAAAAATAGTATTTTAATTCATCTGTGATTTACTCAACTTTCTCAGACACTTAGGGGAAATATTCAAATTATTTATATATGTATTCTAAAGTAACAAAGGGAGCTCTGGTAGCATAGTGGCTAAAGCACTTGACTGCTAACCAGAAGGCTGGCGGTTCAAACCCACCAGCCACTCCTCGGAAGGAAGGTTGGGCAATCCTACTTTCGTAGTGATACTGCCTCGGAAACCCAAGGAGGGGTCGCTATGAGTCGGGGTCGACTCGACGGCACATAACAACAACAACAAAGTAACAAAATTTATCAGATTTTATGTTGTACATAATTACCTATAAAATGTATACTTCCAAGCAGTAGAACATTTTATAATTATGGAAAAATAAAAACTGGCCTAATATCTAAATTAGTAAAATGTAACATTGCTCTTCTCATTATTGACTCTAAACTGATATTTAATAATATTGGCAATATCTTACCATCATAGTCAATTAATTAATAGATTAGAGAATCCAAAATATATTTCAAATGTATTAGGCCATACTTTAACGTAATTTCCTATTACATCATGATCAACCCCTAATGGGGTAACTGCATACTACAAATCATTTATACTTGTTTCAACTAATTTATCTACCAAAACTTTCACAGAAACAAATCCCAGATAATCACATTTCATGATGTCTGTATATTATTTAGTAAGAAGTTAAAAGCATTGTAAAGACCACAATGCAGGCAACAGTACGAAAAAGAGGTCAGAGTAGGTTGCATTTAACGAAACACACCATTTTTTCACAAATATGTCTCCTTCTTGAACACAAAAAAATGAGAAAACTGGGTAATTGATGACATTATTAAGTAAAGCTACTTTCATGGCATTCAACATATTTCTCTGTCAGAGAATGTCTCTATCATAATCGAAAATCAATTTTCAGGCTCTAGTAGCTGCCTGTCAAGAAAGTGGGCTCCGATTGGCACAGCTGCTTTAACAAGTAAAAGGAAGGAAAGGAGGTAGGAAAATTAATTTTTATTGAGCTACTAATATGTACCCCACATTGTGATAGGTATTTTATATACCTTATCTCTCTGAAGGAAAGGAGCAGAAGTAGCAGTAAAGTTAAATTTCAACCCCACTTCTAATTTCAGTTCAGCTGATTCACTACCTAGTTACATAAATTCTCACTTCCTTTCATTTTCTCTTACCTTTATCCTCACTTAATCTTTCACTGAGTTCTGAGCTTTATATACATGCTTATTAGAATTCTTCCCTTTTTGTTTGATAATTTTATCATTTCAGTTTGGGGAAGGAGTATAATAAAATAGAAGCAAAAGCATGGGCCTTGAATTCAGATAGCTTTGAATTGTGGGTAAAATAAATATGTACATAACATGGTGCTTGGTACACTGTAAGAACTCAATAAATGTTGCCTGTGGTTATTATTATTATCAAAAGGTTAATTGATGCTCAAACAGTTACCCTGACGCTCAAATAGTTACCATGACTCACTGAGAATTTTAAGTCAATTTCAGAGCAGAAACGGGAACCAAGTGTCCACAGCCATCATTTTATGTAGTTCTCAATATTTTAAAATATTCCTGTGATGCAAAAATGTATATATACACTCTCATAATATTAAAATGTCACCAATCCCTACAGATTTCATTAGTTTACTTGTGACCTTTCATATCCATTTGATAAACATCAGAATCTTTGCTCCACAGAGTATCCTTTAAGTTTTGTTTTTGTTTTCCTCATTAGAGACCATTTTCTAACCTCGTAGAATCAACCGACTGGAAACCCATGCAGGAACCATATACCAGATGTCATGTTTGTTAAAGTCACATTTCAGAAACGAAGGCAGGATGGACATTAGAAGAGGGAAAAGCTGCCAGTCTACTGAAGCAGCTGCTTTATCCCACAGCCCAAATCCTTACCCTAGAGGACAAGAAACTTCAGTCAGAACAACTACTTTGTAAAGTTTCAAATAATAAGAACTTTCTAGTTACAAAATTTTTTCATAGTATACGTTTTTATATGTATATGATTTCCATATATACATTTTTGCATTTGGAAAAGCTTTGTCTACTACCATTATTCTGTATTATCCACTCCCAACCATATATTCATAAATTTAAAATTTTAACCTTTCATTAATTTTTACTACATTTAGATAATGAACTTATTGAAGAAACAGCATGACTTTATTTATCAGTGTTTAGGAACCTTTCCAAAATATCACAGATTTCTCAGTTTTTTAAAAGCCAAAATTAAAATGGGTCTTTTGACTTAAGATCAGATCATTGAGAAAGATCAGCCTTTTCACATGAGTCTTTTTACCTATAAAATAAAGCTTTGCTTTTTAAGTTTCCTCTACCACTAGAACAGGCAAAAGCAAACTTAGTTAAAAGGTATAATGAAGATAACTCTTTACTCTGAAGAGTTATAAAAAAAAAATTCAAGTGAACTATTGTATTAATAATTTGAGTTTTTAAAACTCATGTTTTTAAAAAGACAATACACATTATTTTGGCAGAGAGAAGGGAGCAAACTGAATCAATTGAGACACAGAAAATAGTTCGAAATAAAAACCACATGATGTTCATTTTTTAAATCTACATTTAATAAAAAGAGTCCTTCAAATTCTACCATAGCACAGAATGTCACTGTCATTCTTAGCTGTAGAAAGAAACCCATGTAGTTCATAGGGTGAGAAAATTTTACGAATTTATATAGTTAAATGCAATAGTTTTAAAACTAAAACTACAATCATCTTTTAGGAAATGAAGAGCCAATTCAGCTATTAAAGTTTAAATTTTTAAAATAAATTTATACTTAAAGTACCAAAAAGAATCCATGAGATTTTTATGAATAAATCAGTGCTAAAGTAAATAAAGGAATGCAAGCTGTTACAAAACATATTTATTAGGTAATCAAATAATTTTTTAAATTAAGTTTTTAAGTTATAAAAGATCAAATTTATATGCATCACCACTTTAATTTCTATCTTCAAATTACTCTCCTTGTTCATTAAATGTATTATACTGCATCTGTCTATACAGAAATGCCTATTTGACCTCAATCACCACCAATATTTCCTCATGTTCTTTTAAAACCACGCCTTACATTCCATCAAATAATAAAGAAGAATAGTTATTCACTGATTTTTTTTAAAGCCTATTCAATTATTTTGTACAAAAACAGGCACTTCATTTCATTAGCATTTTTTAAAGCTTTGGCTAATCTTTAAATTAGTTCCTCCCACTGACTCTTAAGGTAATTATACATACCACAGTCTGATGATTAACTTGAATCACTTCATCACCAGCATGGATTTTCTTGCATCGATCTGCAGGTGACTGAATTTAATATAAAAGAAATGATAAAGGACATAATTTTTATCAGTCATTTCCTCTCTCTGACAACACTACAGTAAGTTAATATCCTTAAATTAGATCAAGTTTTTAATTATAATCTTCAAGGAATTAAACTACTAGAAATAGTTATTAGTACTTAACATACTATTTTCATTCTCTATATAACTAGTGACAGGAAATAGAAACGCAAAACAATGTATAGATATTTATGTTACCAAAGAACGGTAGATTTCTGAGGTCATTAAGGGAAATAATAATTGGCATTAACTTTTCCAAAATTTATACAGGTAATCCTGTTAGGTTCTACTAGGCAAATGCATCAAAAATATATTTCAAAACACTATTTTTTGTATACTTTGATCCTTTCTATTTAATATAAATAAATCACATAACTTCAGCAAATCAAAAATTCCAAGTATATGCATATATGATCAGCATCAAAGCTTTGAAGAGTGATAATTAAGTTGCTAACTCATTTCATCATTAATAACATCAATTCTGAATAATATAGAAGAGCAAAATAAGAGATGAACAGGCAGAAATCAACTCAAAACTACATTATATGACAGTCTCTGTCTAAATATCTAAGAGCATGCTATTTCCATGTTTCAAATAGTATAATATACTATATATATTATATATATATGGAATTATA